TTTAATTTTTTTCTAAGTAATTTATTTTTTTTATTTTCGGAATAATATATATATATATATATATATATATATATATATAATTTCTTTGTTTTTATATGATCTAACCCTATAGGCTGAGTATGTTGTAGATCTAAGGATGATCTACCATGTCCATAGGTCAATTGATTTTTTATATATATTTTAAAATTTAGGAATAAAAAATATTTATAAGTTCTTTAATTTTATGTAATTTAACCTTATAGGCTGAGTATGTTGTAGATCTATGGCTGATTTACCATGTCCATAAATCAAATTTATTCATTTTTTTGCTACATATTTACTTTTCTTAATTTTTATTTAAATTTTAGAATAAAACATGAAAAATAATTATTTGAATAAAAATAAATAATTATTTAGTTTTTAGAAAATTAGAATGAAACATGCAAAATAATTACTTGATCTATTATGTCCATAAACCCATTCAATTTTTCTATTACATATTTACTTTTCCTAATTTTAATTTAATTTTTAGAAAATTAGAAGCAAAATAATTATTTGAATAAAAATAAATAACTATTCAGTTTTTAGAAAATTAGAATGAAACATGCAAAATAATTACTTTATCTATTATGTCCATAAATCCATTCAATTTTACTATTACATATTTACTTTTCTTAATTTTAATTTAATTTTTAGAATAAAACAAACAAATACATTGGAACTGAATTGAGTACTTTATTAAATAGTATGTTTTTGTTTTCGTATATTGATTATAATTTTTTTTTTCATGAAACTCACTAAAACATGTTATTTTTATACATAAATAGCCCATTTATGTCTTATATTTAGTGATATTGATGTTTATTTATGATTTATTGGAGTATTTATAGCATTTCCATGCGTTTTCATGCGTATCTTAATTTTTCATCTGTATCCATGCGTATCCAAGGCGTATCCCTATACATTTCTTAAATTTTCCTTTCCAATATGCATAGCGTTTCCGATACTTTAAACCTTGCGCCAATGGTATTATTCAATGCATTTATAATTGGATGAAATATGGATCTATGTCTATCCGATCCACTATAATCAGGTTGGATTCAAGTTAAATATATATGCTCATATATACTTAAAAATTATATTATATCTATCATTGAAGTTGGTCTCAACTTGTATTTTCACTAAATTGTCAAAGGTTCAAGTTTTATGCGAGTAATTTTCAATTCATTTTGTCTATAAAATATAATATTAAAGTGATTTCTAGCTCTTTCTATTAATAATATATAATGTTTTGATCACTTCTAGTATAATTCATTTATACTATTTAATATCTAATTGTAATCTATCTAAATTCGATTTGAACCCACTAGATATCCAATGGATATGATCTAATTCAAATTGGAGTATGCGGGTTCAACTTTTATAAACTATTAGATATAAAATACTATATATAAAGTACGGTATCCTGAACTTTGGCTCGAGTGACAATTTAGCCCCCGAACTTTAAAATATGATAATCTAATTCTTAAACTTTCGAAATGTGACAATCCAGAGTCCCTGCTGTTAGACCTGTTTATGGGTCGGGCCAGGCTGGGCTTTTACTGTGTATTAACAAATTTTTTTAAGGCCCGAGCCCGAGCCCGGCCCGACCATCGGGCCTACAATTTGGGCCCGAGCCCAGCCCTCATAAAAAGCCC